AAATATTATTTCAACATGTAATCAATGCAAAAGTTATTAAGCTATTTTGCATTGCTTTTTATATTAAATATTTATATTAAATATCGTTGAAACCTATTGTGTGTTAACACCTATGGCGCATCTCAGTTTGGACCAGTCACATGCCAGATGCTCATTATCTAGATGGTGGCAGTGGGCACTGTATTGGACAATGCAGGGCCAGAACTTCAAGGTCACCCTGGTTTTTTTTTTCAATTTTTCTTTTTTCTTTTTTGGTTTCTTTTAAGGATAGTAGTTATGGTCTGTTCCTAATTTCTTTTGCTTTCCTGAAGACTTACTCATTTATTCAACAAGTCAGGTTGCACACTTAACATTTTCCAGGCATTTTCTGGGTGCTTGGAAAACAGTAGTGAACAAAGCAGTCAAGGATGCCTGTCTGCAGAGAGCTTATAACTGGTGGAGAGTGGCAAATAGTAAGCATAAAAACTAAACAAATTATATGACACGATAGGGTAGAAGGTGATTAATACCTCTAGGAGTAATTAGGAAATCTGAGGAGTGCCGGTTTAGGAGGAAGGTTGCAGTCATGTAAAGGGTGGTCAGATCAAGAAAAAAGAGAGAAGATTCTAATGGCCCAAATCAAGAATGACAGAGGGGACGTTACCACCAACCTTACAGAAATAAACAAGGAAATACTGTGAACAGTTATGTGCCCCACAATTAGATAACCCGGATAAAACGGACAAACACTTAGAAAGACACATACTACTAAAACTGACTCAAGAGGAAACAAAATCTAGTCCTATAACAAGTAGAGACTGAATTAGTAATTTAAAAAATTTCCAACAAAGAAAGCCCAGGCTCAGATAACTTTACTGGTAAATTCTGGTAAAAATTAATACAAACTCTCCCAAAAAACAGAAAAGGAGGAAATTCTTCTTAATTCATTCTGTGAAGCCAGTGATACACTGATACCAAAACCAAACAAAGAAAACTACATAAGATAGTACATACTAGTATTTCTTATGAATATATATGCAACATCCCCAACAAAATAATAGCAAAACAAATCTAGCAACATATAAAAAGGATTATACATTATGAACAAGTACAGCTTATCTCAAGGATGAAAGGTTGGTTTAACATACAAAAATCAATCATGTAATACATCAAGTTGATAGAATAAACAAAGAAACTATATGATCATCTCAATAAATGAAGAAAAAGCATTTGACAAAAGCCAAATACTCTTTCATAATAAAAACACTCAACAGTGCTCGCTTCGGCAGCACATATACTAAAATTGGAACGATACAGAGAAGATTAGCATGGCCCCTGCGCAAGGATGACACGCAAATTCGTGAAGCGTTCCATATTTTTGCTTAACAACAGATTTCTTTTGCCTCTCGGTCTCTATTTTAACAGTGCTTTGAAGTTTATACAGAAAGCTTTAAAAGTTAGTTTGTGCCCTTGGTTTTTGTTCTCACAACTGCTAAAATACCTCTGTAAGCCTTATCCTTTTATTCTTTCAAATGTTGTATAATAAATGTATAGAATTCATTGACCAAGTAAAATGTTGGGTGTCTGTAAATGAGACCAAAATGTGGGTTGCTTTTTTTCATAAAGTAATTTCTATTGGGGGTTACTGTTAAATGAACAGTAGCTAACCTGTAACTGTGAATGCTTCGTGTCGTCAGTATTTGCATTACATTCATAAAAGTGTGCAAGTCCTGTGACTCCCAGCTTAACTAAAATGATGTTATGCCACCTAACTTGAGTACAGCAAACTGGTTTTAGGTTTTAATGGAATCGATGTAAAATGATAGCCCATAAATAAAAAGTATTTGTGTTTGGTTTCAGAAAAAAAAAAAAAAAACACTCAACAAACTAGGAGTAGAAAGGAACTTCCTCAACTTAATAGAAGACATTTATGAAAAACTCAGAGCTAACACCGTATTTAACAGTGAAAGACTGAAAGTGTTCTTCCTAAGATCATAAACAAGACAAGGATGTCTACTCTCTCCATTTCTATTCAACATGGTGCAGAAGGTTCTAGGCAGGGCAATTAGGCAAGAAGAAATAAAAAGCACCCAGATTAAAAAGGAATAGTACCTCTGTCTTCAGAGGACATGATCTTATATGTATATAGAAAAATCTAAGGAATCCACTAAACAGTTAAAAATAAAATATAAAGATCAATATACAAAAGAGATAGTAAACAAAACAATACAAAAGATCAACAAAACAAGTTGGTTTTTTGCAAAGGTAAAGTCGACAAACCAGTAAGTAAGAAACATGAGAGAAACCCAATAAGTAAAATCAAAAACAAAAAGATGTTACAACAAAATAACAAAAATATAGGCTGTTTACTATTTCTCAGACATGCCTTACTCACCTCATCTGTCTTTCCTCATGCTTTTTTCTTGGAATATCCTTCTTTTCCTCAGTTTTCATTGCTACCTATAAAAGTTAATTCTCCTTAAAGGCTCTGCTTAAAAATACTACCTCCTTTAAGAACACAGCCTCAATATCTTAGATGGAAATTATCTTCCTTTTGTTAAACTCTCAAAGTACTTTATTGGAATCACTCTAATGACCTTTAAAATATATTGTACTTTATAATAGCTATTTAGGATAATTTTTTCTCTGTCCTAGGTACCATCTGGCTAATTTTGCAATTCACTATAGTACTTAATTCAATGCACAGTGTTATCAAAAATAGGTATGTAACTGATTAATATGATTGACTTGGATAGAGAAGTTGAATGCAGTCAGTTAAGTGTTAGGTATGGAGTGGGCGTAGGATGTGTATGTCCTTGCTAACCAGAAAATTAGTGGGTTAGCACTAATTTTATTGCTGCTAATCCTAATTTTATTGCTCCTGTTCTAGTTCCATCTTTGTAACTCATAGTTCCTCCCCAGCATCTAAGTATGGCAAAATTCAACACATAAAAGGCCGGTTAGGAGTGTTTCAGACAACACCCCATATCACTAATTGGCTGAGTTTTTGTTTGTGTGTTCGACCTGTTTTTCGATCTATAGTTTAATTTAGGTGAGTGCCAAAGATAATATTTGCAACGGACTTCAATGCTATTCTGTAAGAAAATCTATTTGACAAATAAAATTATGAGCGAGGCTAATAGCAGATAACTTCAAGACTAAATTATCTTATCTTGTACCTTGTTCTCAATGTTCCTGTGAACCTAAAACTGTTCTAAAAAATAAAGTGATTAAAGAAAACCAAATTACTGATTAAGTGGTGAACTATGGCTTTTTTCACTTAGAAGTTTTAACTTCTTAAGTATGTAAGGCTTAGCTTTATGAAATTAGTTTGCAGTCCCTTCTATGTACAGCAAAAGACATTCACTCTAGCACTCACTCTAGCCTGAGCAACAAAGTGAGACTCTGTCTCAAAAAAAAAAAAAAAAGAAAGAAAAAACTGACATTCTAATGGACAGTTTTTCTTAGTTTTTCTTAAAGGAAAATCAGTTTTTGAAAAAGAATGCCTATTATTTATATTTAAAATGAAAAAATATGTGCATACTATGATTTATGTGAAAGGTGTTTATTTTCTTTGAGCAATATTAAAACAAATAAATTACTGTGCAGTTCAGTAACACAATGAGCATATAATAGAGACAACATTCTAGAAGGCACTTCGGATACAATCACAGTCAAGTAATACAGACAATTGGGCAGTTATTTATCTTGACACCTTATAAAAATCGCCTGCCTATTTCCCATTGTTCCTTTAACATTTTTCAATTAATTGCTTCATGTTATAAAAATTCAAAGTTCCATCATAAAATGTACCTATATTATTACTGATTTATTTTAAGTCTATTTACTATGAATCCCTTCACCAACCAATCACATTGAAACAACATTTTAAAATGTTATCCTTTGTTCAGGTGCTAAACCAAATCATTCCTTCATAAGAAAGGTTGTAAGAAAGTGTTTACATAGCCAAATGTAAATGAAATAGAACTTGTGATATAAATCTTCTAGGAACAAAAGTTAGATAAGCAAGATGTTTTTGTCATTATTACTGTTTGTTCTTTTTAAATGGGTTTTGGTTTTGTTGTTATTATTTTTAATTACAATTTTAAATTGTTGATTTTATACAAAGACTAAAAAATTTTTTAGAAAATAGGTAGGATCTAATTTTGTTCTAAAAATTATAACGTTGCCAGCTGCAGTGGCTCACACCTGTAATCCCACCACTTTGGGAGGCAGAGGTGGGAGGATCACTTGAGGCCATTGGTCTGGGCAACATAGTGAGACCCTGTCTCTACAAAATAATTTTAAAAATTAGCTGAGCATGGTGGCACATGCCTGTAGTCCCAGGTACTTGGAGCGCTGAGGCAGAAGGCTTGACCCAGGAATTTGAGGTTACAGTGAGATATGATTGCACCCCTGCACTCCAGCCTGGGTGACAGAGTGTGACCCTGTCTCATACTCTGTGAGAGATATAAAAATATAAAAATATTTTTATTA